CAGTTTGTTTGGGAAACAATATGTCGAATAATAACTGACAATAATCATATTATCTATATGAATCATATATGTAGTGTGACTGCAGTTTTTTGAAAGAAGAGGGAAAGGTATAAATTAAAAGATAGCATTATAATATATAAAACTCTTTCGGTAGGTTAGACTTATTTATATGGAACAGTTTTAATAATGTGTTGAGAGCAAAAAGACAACTTAGTAAAGCATATAGTTTTATGTCCTCTTTCATGTAATGTAAACAGAACCTTCTTTCTACTGTTCTGTAATAATATAATCATTTACTAAATAAACCCTGTCTCCCATCTCTAAATCTATCTGACTGAGGTCATTATTGCTCATTTTCTGGGTTCTAGGTGGAACAAAGGGCTCCTGTTCCTCATCTACATTGTTTTCGGTTATCTGCGCTCCCTTTTTTGGTCGACCTCACAATTGATTATGAGTTTTTCTACTTCTCTTCACATTATCCTGATTACCCTGAGGTATCCATTCTTTTGCTTTACATTCGGGATTCAGTCAATGGTCTGGATGTGACGTAACTTGTAATTCAGCCTAACTGTTTTGATCAGTAACAATTTTCTAATGACATTATTGTGGCATTCTTATAATTTATGCCCCTGAATATCTTGTTATTACACTCTCGCATTCGTTTTCGAGAAACTTCCATTGTATTACATATATGAGCAGAGCAATACGTTGTATTTTACTAATTTGACATTTAAAATTCATCCCTATATACACTGTGATTATTCTTAATTATTCTGGGACATTTTATTTCTCCAATAAACTACAGTATGTTAACAGCGCAGTAATAACCAATTACTTTCACTATTCATGTTGTAAGTCAGCTGACATGAAATAGAGGAAATGAAATAGTCCCACTTTTATCTTTTTTTGTACTTGTTTTTATTACTTTTTTCAAGCTCATTAGTGTAAATATGTGTATGAAATTTGCATAGCTAAAAAGTGAAATTTAATCTCTTAACTTCTGTTTACTTTAAATGTTTAAATTCGTCGAAAGACAAAAATGAGTTGGTATAACAGAAACTTCTACTTCCAGGGAATATTGTCACACATACAAATTTTGTTTACGTATATATATATATATATAGTGTTGAAACTTCTGGGTAACTGGGAGTCATGAATACTTAAGTGATACAAGTGACGGGCAATCATACAAAGCCAGAAATCTGTATTGAAGTCGTTATAATAAGATTAGTAGATAAATTTATTCCCAGTTGATACTAGAAATAAAATCATGCACCGATGAGTGAAAATGTCTAATCTCTTATATAACGAATACACAAGGCTAGTTGGCCTATTATTTGGTGGGAAGTGACTGGCGCTAGAATTCTAGACGTGCATTTCATCCTATTTAAGACTCATCATTTGGACTTACGAGAGTCCCCATGGAGTAATTGTGTTCAATTATTGACTGATACGAGTTGTACAAAGGGGTGATTCTCGCAGCTCTTATAACCTAGTGGATAAAGTTTTGGGAATTTGAAACGATGGGTTCAAGGTTAGAGTATCAGTGAGAACATCGTTGCTCATTGAAGATTGCAGGTATATCGAGCTGATAGCTCTCGAATAGGGTGAAATGCACATCCGAAATTATTCCGCTAATCAGTCATCCACCAAGTAATGACATGTTAATCCTCAGAAATAATCGAAGCATCCTTATCAGAAGGCGACATGAAAACAAAGGTCGAATATTTCTGTCCAGTCAATCAAGAACAGTCAATAGAATCGAAATATGTTACTTTTTTGAAAGTAGTGAGTTTATTGGTCATCCTAACAAAGACGTTAATAACAGTGGCCGAATTCGTTGCCATGTCCACTCAGTAACATAAGTAATGTTATTTTAGATATTTTAATGTTGTATAATAAATTAAGAATATTTATATATATATATATATATTTGAACTGATTCGGAGTTGTTCCTACTCTGTAGGAGAAAATGTTGTTAGACACTCAAGAGGTTTTAAAGTTAAACGTAGACACATTTAGATTTTAGGATTTCTGAGGATTCAGAATAATTTCATTCGTTAGATTTCGTCATGAATCAGCGTCCCTTAGAGGCCACTGAAAACCAAGGGGCACTGGACTTTTCAGCAGTGCACACTTACGACCGTACTGAGGATTGAACCCAGGAACCTCCAGGTCACCAGACCAAACTATTTGATCATTCAAACACTTGTGTTAGCACTTAATGATCCGTGAATTGTAAATTCGTGTGGTGGTACTTTCAAGAGCATCTAATTCACTTTAACATGTCGGTCCGTGTCGGAATCGAACAACTGAAATTAATCCAAATCCCCCACAATTCCCATAATCTAACTATCAACCTCCAGCTCATCGACAGTTGTTGGATGGACGTCCTGAAGCTGCCTGTCAGGAGTTGGGGCCAATGGAGTCCACTATGCTAATCAAAGGTATTGATTGAGGGTGGTGGTATATCACTATCTGACAAAGTTAGAATTCACTGGTCACTGAATCCTGATACAAATGGCTGAATGGTCAACTAGCGTGGTCTGGTAACCTGAAGGTCCCAGATTCGACCCCTGGTAGGGTCATGGGTGTGCACCGATGAAGAGTCCCAAACTAAGGTGAGATAAGTGCTCAGTGCTCCTTGGCTTTTAACGATCTCTGAATGACGTTGATCCCTGACAAAATCTAACAACTGAAATATATACATACGCATTCTCATGATTTTATGCTAACCTATATGGTCTATTTTGTCATTAGATATGTCTTCTAATCGTATCCTGGTGACGTTAAATTAAATTCAGTTATGTAATGTACTCGTCCATTTAGAACAGTAAACTCATTTTCTATGTAGGTTCTAAATGAGAAATAACATGTAATTATTAAAAACGTGTTACTGTATCATATGCTTTAAACTGTTTTATATTGAGAATGAAAATGAATTAAGTAAAATAATTATGAATCAGATGACGCATGTAAAACTACTTCGGAAATGTCGTGTATATCATGATTGATTCATATATTTTCCCCTCATTTTCTTATAAAACTGCTTGACAAGTAAATGTGCGTGTGTGCGGAGTGATCAGATTATTCAGAATGCGCTAGACTAATGGATCACGTTTTTGTTTGTGTGTGTGTGTGTGGTTATTTAGGCATTTAGATCACCATATCCACTTCTTTCTTAATGAAAGCACTCATATTCCTGTCAGCCAGTTATGACCAATATATCTGAATAGCACTATAGCCTGGCAATCTAGTAAATCGATACAGATTACACTAAACTTCCTAATTTTTCTAATGGAAGATGGAATCCATTGCATCAGATTGTTATTTGCCAGGTTAATGATTAACAAAGTTCACTACAATAACTGCTTTTTATTTTCATTTACGAATCTTGAAAAATCACATGATTTTCTAACTGGGAAGTAGCTATTACAGAGGGTATAGTCAGTCGTTAGTTAGTATCTACCATCAGAAGTACTGTAGTCAGGAGCAGACTGTTAAAATGGTACATCTTTTGAACCTAGTAAAAAATGGTACTTTTTTACTTAAAAATAATAAAGCCAACATTAAAATCATTAAACGACTAACTACTGAACAAGTATTCTTTTCGATAACCACCCCATTAGGTTCTCCAGTTATACATCCTTAATTAAACAGTTATTTATAATGATGGTAATCTTCATATGGTTGAATGATAATACCAAAACGAGGGGGAGAGAATAGGGCAGAAGGTTAACTGTGTGTCATTGTGTAATTAAATTACTAAGGTTAAGGTTTATACAAGTACAGTGATAGGGAATGAAGGAATTTATATCTACAGGATCATAGGTACGTAACACAGTACCTATGAATTTGTAGATTCCACAACAGGCCGGTGGCTGAACCTGCTTCTTTTTTTGGTACGCAGAACTCAGGTTGTTTTAAGCTTGGAGTATTCGGTACCTAGAAGCTTTTGACTATTTAATTAGTACACGATAGATGATAGAAGATCATTTTTCAATGCTAGTTTCATGAATTGTTTGGGCCAGATGGTTTAACATCGAACTGCTTATTGTGTTCCAGAACACGAAAATCTAAGTTCCTAGAGCACCGGCCAATATAACTGGCTCCATGTCAGTAGCTGAAGTGATAAGTACCAGAAGAGATGATTAGCCTAGGTGCTTCATCCTTCAGCTGAAAAATCACAACAGACAGCGTGGAAAATATGACGTGCAGTTTGCCAGCATTCAAAGTCCTTTCAACCGATTCGCTTGGTACGGCACCTCCGAATTGCAATTGCGTATTTAGAAACTTCTTATTTACGGATAAAGAGCAGTTTTTTCTACTTTATTAACCATGTGTTTCATGATGAACTTTTCTGCATAGCTACCTTCAATTAGGGTGTCATGTTCAAAGTCTAGTTCATCCTCTAACCCTGTAGTACAGGTTCCTCATTAAATTTCTTTTGTACTGAAGAGGAAAACAGGCATGAATGTTTGCATATTGCCTTGTCTATGTACACTTTTTGTTTAGATCTTCATTAGTCCTCACTACTCATAAGTATTTTCTGATTTTAAGTATTAGTTGTCACGCATGACGAGCAACCTAGAGCAATACATCGTACAAGCTTATGAAAAAGACTTTATATACATAAGATTGTACAGTTACGTGAATGAGCATTAAGAAAAGAGACTTTGCAGAACAACTTGCTCTTCTTTTTTCCTAGTCAGAATGTCCTCAAAGTACACTTTTCAGATAATCTAGTCACTTTAAGTAATAATACAAGTAAAAACGAGGATCTCGTAATCGCAGAATTCCAAGTTACCAAGATAGCGAATTATACAATCCTCTTGTTATAAAACGTATTTTGACTATTGATATAAGTATAAAACTTGGGCACGTATTTTGACTACATTGGCGTTTGAGCCTTAGTTATTTTCTACTACATCAATAAAAGTTCTTGTAAAAGAATCCAGAGTATATCATTCGACATTAAAATCAAAGACTGTACCACTTACCTGTTCATAAGACTCAAAAATTACTTCGTAAGCTTAGTTATAATTCCTCTTATAACACCGAAAATAACTCTCCTTTTCTAAGATTGACCAAAATAACCCTCCATTTTAAAAGCACACATTATTAAAGTAAAACTACTAAAGTTATTAACCACTTAGACAATAGAGAGATTATCATCTTAAAGTTTATTTGTGCGTAATACACTCCGACAAAATTGGTCACTTTACACAATATACACAACCAATGATTACCTGCTTTTTTTAAAGCGAGTCATCAAACGAATCGATACAATTAAAGATGTGCATGTTAAAACATTATTATAATAATTATTATTACAATACCACTCAGTAAACTTACCATTTGCTTAGAAATACACACTCAGTTAAATGCAGTAAGATTTCTTTTTTCTGAGCATGAGCATATATATATATTCATGTATACTTGCCTATTAATAGCTTATCACTAGGGTTAACCAAATATGTTACTTAAAATCTAAAAATATTGATCCGTGGATGTATTTCCATTTATGGGAGTAAATATGTAATGCGTGTTCTTTTTTTTGTTAAGAAAATTGATGGATTTCACTTTTAGATTGGTAATTATGAAGTCACGTTCTCTATTTTTTTTCTTCTTCTTCTTTGTGATACTCTTGATTGTATAACAAATAAGCATATTACTATACGCTTGGAATGCACTATTCGATCATTACTTGCTATAATGAATGTGGAGATTGCATTTGTTAAAGAGGATTTTTGCCTTAAGACAAAAACCTGATAGTCAATGTTGAAGTGTCTGAGATAAGTAGTCCACAGGTGTTAGAGTAGATATTTATTGACGCGTGTTGTTTCAATGAAAAATCGAGTGCATAACATGTTGAACACTGCTCATGCAGAAATAGAATTTTTAAGAATTAATAAGAAAATATAGCAGATCATTTCAGCACACGATAAACCTGGCTAGAAGTTTATAATTTGTGACTAGATAGATATACGAGCGAAAGCAAATGACAACTTGTTATACGGAATTCCCTTTCAAAGGAATTTCGGCGAAGTTCTCTACTGTGTAAGAGCCTTGATAGGAGTATTAAGACACGTCTCTGAAGAACACCACACAAATCTTTTGTCATAATGACTAACGTAATTAGTATATTAGTATAGTATATATATATATACTATATACTATACTATATATATGCATATATATTCAAACGAAATTTAGACTTCAGTTTGGTTGCGTTGCCTTTCTCACATTTACTGCATGTTAATTATTGATCTGTATTTTGAGCACCAGACAGAGAAGTAAGATGAAGTATTAGTGTCCTACATTGGAAGAACAGCAGTCAATGTAGACTAACACACTGGTAAAGTCTCAGCATTTTCCATTCCTTTGCGTTTCAAGTGTTGAAAATAGGGCTTCAAGCTTCAGCGTCGGAGTTTGAGTATTGGTGGCATTTCACTTAAACATAGTAGGTTACCAGCTTCACGCTCAACCTTCCCTCGTTACCAGCCTTAATGTTAGCTGTTGCGTCGATCAGAAATCGAACCCGGATCATTTGCGTGGTTGTTGAGCATTCCATCGTGGAACTGCCGACGCCAAAATTATCGGTATCTCCTATTTTTTGTGTGACCGTCCTGCACTGGTTAGCCGGGTTATAGGACTTACTTAGGTATGATTGGATAACATTTCTTTCTCAAAGATGGTATTTTTTTAGTAGTACTTCATTTTAGATTATGCAATGTATGCTAATGTGAGTGATAATCAACAAGAACCAGTAACTTAGATTTTTATTCATATACAGTAATGTCCGAATTCGTAAAGCTAATCACAAGCTATTCGAATTTCTCCGTTTCTTCATTGTCGGCCAGAATGAACCATTCTGTATTAGTTGCATGGGGCACATAGTAATGCAGTAATATTAATTACAGTTATCTCTTCATTGTTCAGTCACATGTGAGGAAAGCTACTGTGGGATGATTTTAGGTGGAATTAACATTTTATAAAGGAGGTGAAATTCGCCGAATTTTGTTCTTAACAAGGTGGTATGTCCGCACCACTGAGGAGTATCAAACCAGGAGTAGATAACCGTTCAGTACTTTCAGTTCTTCACTGAACTTTGACCCGATGTTAGGCCATCATGAAATCTATTCTGGAATTAATTGAATTCGTACAAGTATAACGTTTGTATATTTTTGGCTGATTTGAAAAGCAGTTAATGCCATACCATTGTACAATGTACCAGACAAGCTGTACAGCGGTAATGTTTTCAGATATTAGCGATATGTTGTTTGAATGGCAACCGATGTCTTCCAACTAAAGACTACTATTTTCAAGAGTTAGTTGTAGGAATTTCATCTGTTTCAAGTTTGACTACGAATTGATATCAGTTAGAGAACTCCTGAAAACCAGGGAGTACTGGACGGCTGTTTCTGCAGTAAGCAGACACTGGGTTTCGGACTCGGGACCTTCCAGTTACCAAGCACGCCCCATTCAGTCGGCAGCCAGGACAAATACTCGCTGATGGCATTGGCGGGTAGTCGCTCTAAATTCATGAGTTGGTAGAAGTTAGAATACACCGACCATTGAGTACAGTCCCAATGGCTGAATAGTCAAGAAGTTTAACTTGTATTTGCAAGGTCCTGGGCTAGAACCGCGTTGAGTGTATACTGGCAATGAGTCTCAAACAAGGACGAAATAATTGTCCAGTACTCTCTGGTTTTTAATGGTTTTCTAACTACTATCAGTCCGTAGAAAGACTTGAAATCAGGACTACGATCATTATCTTTTTTGACTTATGACGAACGAATTCTTTCTACACAGATATGTGAAAACTCTCAAACATCTGAAGGTCAACACTGGCAGAGAAAGACAAAACTACGCATTGGTGAAGGTTGGAATTACGTTTTGTGGAAAACACTAACATTCATTTTCGAATATGCTAGGCTGTGAAATTCCGAAACTGACATCCCCACAGTTTTTTGACTACTAAACAAAAAAACTTGAGAAAACAATTTATGGTAATAAAGTCATAAAATGAAGTGAGTATAGAAATAAACTTTGGTTTGCATTGAACAGGTGTTTACTTTGGACAACTTCAAGTGAATGATACAGCTAAACTTTATTTAAACATATTATATTCAAGACAATCTCTATATGCTGCATAAACTGAAAAACTTTTTAAATCTGTAGAGAACTTCCTAAAGATAAATAGTTCAAAACTGTTGTGGATGAATTATCATAGTCCGTTTAGGCTCTTAGTCATTCTGCTCATTTCTACTGTCAGCTATTCATAAAGTTTGAATTTTTTCAGGTAATAAAGGTTTGTCGAAGTTATCAAAATTAGGTACTAATTACTTGAATTAACTAATGAGAATATTTAGGGACTGTCTCATTCAAATCGGGAATGTCTGTACTAAAGTTAATGAAAACTGTTATGTTGCACACCCTATCTGAAATACTGACTTATGCATTTATTCCCCCTTATGAATTTGAATAAGGCAAGGACAACTGACGAATCAGCTGACGAGAAACCAACGAAATAAATGATGGTAACATTTTATTCTGCAGAAACCGTTGTTCTTGTTTTATTCAAATACTGACTTATTTATGTAATTTATCACTCTGAGTAATCATCAGCGAGTTTGTCTTCAGTGCAAGGGTGACATGGAGGAGGTCAAGTGAAGAGGAGATGAAAACGTGTGGGCAGACTTGGAACCAGGTGAAGACTCTAGCAGAGAACCGAACGCAATGGAGACGCACGGGTGAAGCCCTATGTTCCTCTAGGAATTAAAGTATACAATAATAATAATAATTATAACAATGGGTAGCATTCTCTCAGAAACAGAAGAATTAGTCAAGAAAACAGACCAAGCAAACTAATCGTACGTTGTACACGCTAAATAAATTCATTCAATTTTAATTATGTAGTTGTCGCTGATTGATTGTACTGAACCCTAATGTTTGATCTCTGTTGGCATGTTGGCTCCTGGTACGGACGCTTTGATTACGTCTTAGGATTAGTATGTTGCTATTTGGTAGTTGACTGGCTAGCAGTGGAATCCAGGATGCGCATTCCTCCCTATTTAGTAGTTGTCAGCTGGATGTACCTGCAACTCCTAGTATGTGATGATGTTCCCACTGAGGCTGGAATACAACACTCATTGTTTCATGCGCCCAAGCGTCATCCACTAGACCACTTGGTCCACGACAGCCAGCTAAGTGGATTCACTAAATTATTCTCTTGTGAATTAGAGATAACATTAATCTGGAGCCTATGGTGCATATGGTATGGGAATAAACAATCTGGTACTTTAGAAAAGGCGTAAAGGAAGAAATAAGTGGTGTATCTTGAGACAGATTACATGAACCATTATACCATATCTAGAAGCAACTAGGAGTGGAGTTCAAGTGAGAATGCTTTACTAAGTTTAGAACCTATCGGTTGTTTCGCTCCTCGTTCTGACATGATTCTTCTTAGCCTATCTTAAACTCACCACTTGATTTCTTCACATATCATACTGAAATATACCAGTGAAAGCAAACCTAAAGAAGGCATTCAGTTTAGCCAATTGATAAGTCACTTGAGCATATCGCCAGCGAATGTAAAAACTAACTGATTTAATAGGAAGTATGCTATTATCGATTTTATATCATTGAACATTACCATATATATAAAAATCTATAATATTATTTTTATTTCTTTCTTGATAAAACTAATCTCCTGAGTACCATTGTATATCCATTCAAAATGTCCTCTATGCATATTTTCTCTGGTGTTTTTTTTCAAAGGATTGATGTTATCACAGTTGAACATTTATTTGCATTGTATCAGCTGATCTTCTACATGTTTGCTTTTTTTTCTATTTCGCTACTGTTAATCTGTTCATTTGGCGGGCAATTACAGAATCTCGGAATTGAGAAGACATGTAAACAGACATACTTTTGGACAAACAAAACAAACAGCTGATTTTTAGAAGCATATTTGTTTGTCAAGTGATAGCATTATAACTCTCAACAGCTTAGGGGAAAGTGCTCTGATATCTGAGTATTCGGCTAGAGTGTATACTAGGACGGGAGATATATTCAATGGATTACATTGATGTCATCAAAAATTTTTGGCGTTGATTTTCACACTGTAACAGTATTAAAGTGTTAATTCAGGGCTTTATTATTTGGTCCTGGTGATGAATTTTTAACGCATACCTACAAAAAATAATAGTTATTATTGGCTAGTGGTCGCACTTTATCGTCAATTGCCAGAAGTTGGAATCCATTGGCCATTGGATCGGGTACCAGTAGCCTGATGGTCTACGAGCTCGCCTTGTAACGGAAAGGTACCTGGCTTCAAACCCAAGTGGTTGTGTACTGATGAAGAGTCCAAAACCAGAGTGAAACAGCTGTCCAGTACTCCAAGGTTTTCCCACTCCATGGTTCTCTAACCGATGTCAGTTCATGATGAAATTCTGTAATCAGTCGAATCCCTGCAAACCAATACCTGAATTATTATTCCCTTGGGTTCCCATTGAAGCATAAGGATGCAGCACCACATCTCCATTTCATTCTGTTCTCTACAGTTTTCTTCATTTGGCTTCACAATTGTTCGCAAACTTCCGTCTCCTTGCTACATGATCTCTCCCATGTCATTCCCGGAAGCCAAAAGCATTGTTTTGCATTCGGGCTCCAATGGAAGCACAGGTGCGTATTGTCACTCAGTTTCTCCTCAGCCTTTATCCAATCTATATCCACTTTCTTTAGTATATTTATTGGGGGAAGAGATTCTTAGTTGCTTATCCTTTCTAGCTTGTATAGATAATATGTCAGGATTCAGCTGTGTTAGCTCACTCTAAGACATTTATTTTCTAAATTAGGCAATTTAAAAACGGAAAGTTACTACCTCTTGAGTACGGTGTTTATCTTCTCTAAGGGCAAACTAATACGTAAATGAGCTGTACCACTTCAACTGACACTTCGTAAATAGAAACTTCTTACACTACTTAATTTCATATATTTTGCAGTGTGAGAGAGGTTCCAGCAGGCGACAAGCCATAGTTAATACCCGTCTTCACCTTTATAGACTATTCTGTCTAACAGTTAGAAGAAGTGTGAAGAATTACAGCTGAGACCAAGCACCTTGGTGACGTTGTCTCCTCTGCTTTTAAAAAAGATTTAAGAAGCTCTCGTAGTTACACATAATCTACCTTAAGAGCTGAGTAAGAAGGCCTTATCGTCTTCGTAAGCAGAACAAAAGAAGATTTATATTTCTTCGGGGACTTAAGGTAAAATGGATGGTCAGTGTTTAGATTACAACCATATAAAGGAAGTGTTAAACAGGGATATCCTGTACGCTGCCTTTATTTGAATCTTTTTTATATACACTAACAATTGCTAATTCGTAACCATTGTACTCTTGTTTGTATACGTGTTAAACTATCGAGAGCACAGGAATCGTATAAGTGCAACCCATCCTGTTAATTCAAAACTGGAATTATATTTTAATATAGGATTTTTCTCAATAATGATCGAGTTATTTAGGCACCTGGTTTTCAGCGAACAATTCTCTGGTATAAATCTAACTCCACCCAGAATTGGAAACCGGATGTTATCTTGTATAAAAACGCATCAACTAGTCTCAGTACATTAATACTCATATAACATCTCAGTTGTACTCTGTAAAATATTCAGGACTCATGAGTCGGGTTTCCTGCCAACTGCTCCTAACCCTGCTACGAAAAGACTGAGTAGTTTGGAGAAGATTCTTTTCATTCAATTAGCTGCATAATCACCTTTCTATATAGTTCATCAGCTAATATGTGCAGTGTATTGATATATTAAAGTGATTAGTCACTTGATAATTCTCCAAATATCAAAATATAATTCTTATCACTTCTTCTGCTCTTAGCTCATATGACAAATTTGAAATTATAATTTCAATATTATGTGATCTATGATTACAATTGTGTTCCGGCCATTCAACAGTAGAATGATTTCCAGCTATATAGGGGTTTCCCGGTTTAATTTTTAACACTTACCCACTTTACCAGCCGGTGGTAAGTCTGGTTTAGAGGGAGGGTTGGTGGTTAGGCTGGCGAAATCACTCTTTAAGAAAATTGGAAAACCGAGTGAATCTTCAAAGCCTGAAGACCTACCTTTCAAACACGAAGCAAAAACAGCTGAGAAAACTTCAACAGCTATTAGTTATTTAAAAATTTCACAATTTTTTTGCGTACATGCCCGAGTAACTGCTTTAATGAGTCAACGCAACATACGGACTTGCTAACAAATTTCACACATAAACGTGAGTTTGCAGGTAAGCGAATGGTTTTGTAGAAAACAGACTTTATGCTGAATTATTTGCTATCCTCTGTCCTTTTCTTTGCTTATATAACACTACTATATATACTACTGGTTAATATGGGTAGCTGGAAACCACTCACATCTTACAGTAGTGCTAGCTAGCCAAATCGAAGAGGTCAAATTACTGGAGGGTATATGCACTGGTTTATAATCGAGCTATTCAATGGTGTATCTGATTTCACTGGGTTTGGCCGGTCAAATGAGCGATTTGAGTACTTTAAGTGTTGAGTTGAGTTCAACTCGGAGTGCGTAATTTTCCCATGATGAGTATAGTTTTCTACTTAGGCAGTACAATAAACGAAAGGTGAAAATTTGATTAATTCTTCTTTACGTCAAACCTTTTCGCTCTTAATGTATATTCATAAGTAAATCTTTGTTTCAATTTGCCTTATGGAAAGTAAAGCTATGAATTAATAGAGGTGGATGGAAGCACTCATTTTTCATAAAACTAAGTCATAATAAGTTGTATCTGCACCGATTATCTATTCTCATAGATGAAATCATCAACAGGATGTCGTTGATGGATTCTTTAGCTCCTTTCACTCTTCCATCATTTTTGGATATAGCACGTATGCCAGAACAGTCACAGAGCGTGGAATGACTGTCACTAATGACCCTGAAAGGACACTTGATAGCGCCAAACACGAAGTAATTTGGAAGCTCCCCCAAAACTGCTGAGTCGAGTACTGCGAAAATGTATAGACCTCACTTAGTAGCCATATGATGACATTACACGTAAAGTAATTCACACCGGCAACCTCACCAAAGCGTTTGAAGTGGAGACAGAAATAAAACGAGGCCTCCTAGTATCCCCGACGACCTTTCCCATTTTTGTGGACTAGATCATTTGATAGACAGTGAAGATTGGAAAGGGGACCATACTTTGGGCACAAGAAAAGACATTAGATTATCCAGAATTCGAGGCTGAATCTCACACATTCGAAGACATAGGAAAGGAAGTCAACAAACTGCAGAAAAGGCAGAGAAGACAGGATTTTAGGGGAACATAGCGAAGACGTAGGCGATCAAGTTACCCGACCAACCACAACAAATATTAATCATCATCCATGAGAGATATTTGGAAAGAGTTTTATTTTTCATCTAACTAACCTTTGAGAAACAGAGTTTCAAATACAGAAGGCATGAATTAGGACGTCAACGCCAACTAGGATCTGTTGAAGAAAGCAGTACAGGCTTGAATTACTCTGAAATCAGACTGGAGATGTACAGTACTCAGAACAAGAAACAGTATACGCATTTGCGACTTCAATGTGAATTCAATTGCTTTTGTATTGTTCAGAGACCTGGCGCATCACCAAGAACACTTTCAGTAGTTTGCAGAAGACGTGTATAAACACCTACCTTCACTCGATTCTGAAGATCAGATGTCCGTTAAGGAGGACAGGCAATTAGGAACTCTGACATACAGCAGGTCAAATGAAGAGGAAGTAAAGGCATGTGGGCAGTAACAGAGCTTTTGTGTCCTATGGTGCCCTCAATAATATAACCAATGGACAATATTCTTAACAGAACAATGCATTATTTATCTGTGTATATATTTAATATTTATGAATATTAATTTTTGCTCAGATATGTGAAATGTACTGGGATTATACTGATCTCTAATAGATTCAATAAGAAAATGATTGAAAATCTGAATTATGTGTACACAGAACGTAACTTTTTTCAATTTCGGTTTGTTTAAATTATACTATCGAAATAATCAAGAGGAGAACATACTCAAACATATATATAAGTAGTATAGATAAATTATGAAAAAATACACATAAGAATGCTAAATAAAAATGAACAAAAAGTATAAAGATGATTATTGATGATTTAAATTAGTTTGTTTGTTTAAATTTTGTTTTTATAAAAATTGTTTTGATTCTAATAATTTAAATAGTTTTGTAAATTGTACTTCTATGCATTCAAGACGATTATTTAAACTACGTAATTCATTAATTAAATTAATATCATGTAAACTGCTGCCAAGTAGATTTGATCGATTTGGAGATGAATATCGATTATAATTATTAAAAGTTTGATTACATTCATTTGTACACGACCATATTGAATTGACAGGCGATGTATTTGTTGTGTACAGACAACTGAAAAAAAGAAATCGAATAAAAACAATTGAAAATAATAGTAATAATAAATATTAATTACTTCATAAACGGTTGGTGAGGTTATGTGAGATATCTTTGCTAATGGGTGGTGGTTGTTAGACCAAGATCCCCTCTCCTTTCAGTTCAATGTGATCAGGACTGACAGGGGAAGACAGAGTTAGCTCAACTTGAAAAGCTTCGTAGAGAGAAGGAAAAGCTATATAAAATGAAAGATAAAGGTGGTGTAAAAAGAACTAACTTCCTTATCAAGTCTGAAATGCAGAGATTGAATGTTATATATTATCAGAAATTCATATCCTGCAAAAATGCTTCAAATATGTGGAAACTATTTAAGGAAATCACTGGTGGTAAGGAGATATACAATATTTCGTATTCTTCTGATGTATGTACTCTTAACAAATCTTTTATTTATTCTCCCTCAAATTCCATGCTTCCCAGTATCACTAGTGTTAATAATAGCCCCTTTCCAGGTTTTAACACAAATGATGTTCAAAAGTGCCTCAAGTCTCTGAATCCTTCCCAGAGCTTAGGTCCAGATCATGTACCTAGTATTATTCTTAAAAAATGTTCTGATATTCTATGTTACCCTCTCAGTGATCTGTTTAGCAAATCTTTTTCCAGTAATATTGTTCCTGCTATTTGGAAAGACATTAAAGTTGTACCCACACCTAAATCGTCTACTGGAGCATGTGTCAAATTTAGACCCATTGCTATTACCTCTCCTTTTTTGAAAACTGTGGATAAACTACTTTTACTTAGTCTTGTACCCTCTCTTAAATCCTTTAATGACCCAAAACAATTTGCCTATAAGCACAGTAGAAGCACTTTAGATGCAGCTGCCGTCTTATATCATAACATTGCTTCCAGTCTAGACAAAGGGGCTAAATTTGTTCGTTGTGCCTTCCTAGACTATACATCTGCTTTTGAATCGGTCCCTAGGGACATCTTATTAAATAAACTTGCTGCAATTCAAACAGAATGTTGGGCTGTTAACCAGTTACATTCTTATTTCTCAGAAAGAAAGCAGTACACCGTGTATAAAGGGAAGTTTTCCACTTCATTGCCTACTGAAGCTGGTGTCCCTCAAGGCGCTGTCCTTTCTCCTTTTCTTTTTTCTTTCTTCTTACATGATTTGCCTCAGTCTGATGAAATAAACTTTGTGAAGTACGCTGATGATTTAACTGTTTCAATGACTGTTGGCTCAAATGGTTCCATTTGGAGGCTTGGACTATGATTTTACTCAATGGTATGCTCATCTCACGTCCAGTCTACATTGATTTCATTCTCTGTATCTATTGGGTAAAACGTTGGTGGTTGGTTCACTGCTAGATTTCCTTTTTACTTATCTCTTGCGACATAACATGTGATCTTCAATATTAAGACAGAGATGGTAACTGTTGATGAAAATCTCCATCGGGCTGATGGAACTACTGATAATGAGTACCGAGTTTGTTGACTATATGGAAGCGGTGACTGACGATACTGGTGTTGAAAATCTGGACCCCTTTTCCTAATTCTAAGTGTAGTAGATATCCACACTGGTTTCAGAGTGATGAACACCAATGTGCCTTGCTTTTCCAGTCCTGGATGTCTTTGACATCTTTATCCGTTCTGCCTGCAGTTGAGACGATGTTGCCTTATCATTACGTTTCCTGTGTTATTCTGTGACAATTCCTTTTCTGACCTACCAGAAATATACGGGTATTTTTAACCATGATTCAATAGGGTACTCCCTATATCCCATCCCATTGAATATGAACAAATAAATTCTTAGGAATATTTTTATCGTTTATTCGTATGGTAGATAGGGGAAAAAGTTGGAGGGCAGTTAGCCGTATGGGTTTCCATCTTAGTAAGCGGGACATTTAATCAGTAAAATCGAGACTATTAGTTGAAATTCTATCCTGAACCAGACACTGGATAGTTGAATTATAAAATGATTCATTTTTAAAAACTAAATCTGGAAGCTTAAGTGAAAGAATTAAAAATTCTCATATTTACGGGAGCCAATATTAGCGCCATTCAATTAAAAAACGCCCCTGTGTTATTAATAGTTAAATGAATTTGGGTACATCTGATTTTATACAGACAGACACATCACATGTTGCGAAGGGCAGTTGACTGAGTCTGGAATAAATCTAATAAATAATACGTGAACATAATACTTTTTTGGTGTAATTTGTGCTGAGTATTAGTCAGAACTCTTGAATTCAGAATTGTCCAGCATATGGAGGCTGATTTTTCGAATCCTACTTCGCGACAGATTTTAAGTCACTACTTATTACACTAATAATAGTGTGCTAACCTAATCCCGTTCGTCGATGCTACAGCAGTAGATTGCTCACCAACCACGCATGCGGTTCGGAGTTCGATCCTCAGCCGACACACACTTAAACTTCATTAAGCTGGCAATAAGACCGGTATAGGAGAGGACGTTGGGCATGAGGCTAGAAAAGTCTACCCTGTAAAATGAAACACCAAGGCTACTGACACTTTAAAGGTCTAGCTTGAAGCCCTATGAACCTCTAGGAACTGGAATACTGGAATGTATTTAATTTTGTGATAGTGTAATCGCTCTACATATTTTCAACTTTCTTCATATTCACTGTTATGTCAACTGAACTAATTTTTTATTGTTATTCTCGTCCAAGCTATTCCACACGTCCCTTTTTACTTCATCATACATGGACTAGATAATATTGGGCTTACAATTACGCAGCTTCATCGTCGTATTTCTGAACATCATCCAGCGTGGTTACGCAAGGGACAAACAAGATCTATTCGTAGTTCTATTTTAGCACACCTTGTTGATACTAAGCACAAGGTTGATGTGAATACTGCATTTAAAATTATTTATCGCATTCCGACTAATCTTAACTTTGCTCTACGAGTTCGGCTTCTACAGACAGCTGAAGCAATCGGAATCCACCAGAAGAATCCAAGCCTATGTGTACAGAAGAAATTTGTACAGCCACTTTCCTTACTGTGGCCATCGTTGCAAGATAGGACTACGTCGCTCCCCTCCCCCTAAACCTATTAAATTATAATTGCCCAAATTATTTTATTTTTACTTTGACCACTTCATCTTTAATTACGTGTTATTCTTGTAAAATTAATTTATTCTATCCATCTCTACCTTTTAAATTTGTATTGATTTTCTTCGTTAATTATCAACCCATTGACATTTTGACACTTTAATTATTGTTAACAAACATATCACCACTTGTTTGGTAAATTGTTGTGTATTGTAAAAAATGCTATATATATTAGAGTACAGCCAGAGATGAGGATCTAATTGAAACGTAAATATTTTTTCGCTCAATCTTTCTGTTTTCCAAATGTCTAAATGGGGGTATTTTCAATATTCGGATTGTTAGATTTGTATAGATTGTGGTTAGTTTCATTTGTTCCATTTGTGTCACTAACCAGTTTTAGTTAGACATATTTCCCCAAGCTGGAAAGGGGAGTTTTGACCAGTTGGGTCCAGCCTGTCAACTGGATGTTCATCAAACATACTAGTAAGTGCAGCGCTATATCACAAGTTGACGAAGTTATAACTCACAGGTCACTGAATCCTGACGCAAGTGGTTGAACAGTCAACTAGCCTAGTCTAGTAATCTAAAGGTCCTTGGTGATGTCGTTTGTCCGCACAGCTTCAGAGTCCCGAATCGGGATTGAATAGCTATTCAGTGCTCCATGCCTTCCAACGAACTCTAAGTAATGTTTGTTCATGACGAGACGTGAGACTAGACAATAATTACTGTGGTGTAAGGAATGAAATCATTTACTCATTTGTTCATTGTCTGAAGTGTACTTAATTGGGGACTATTAGCTGAACTTTCCTCAGCAGTAGAAAGTATCCAACATGTAAGTGTACTACTAAAATAAATTAATTTATACGTATCTGAATTCTACTTTATCTAGACCTGTTTATATCTAGGTAGTCTAGCAAAATGAGGATCTGCAATCGTCAAGATATATTCAAACTTCGCTTTATGTGTTTTTTTCGCCGGCCTGAGTGTTTTCTCTATGAGGCTTTCGTTGTTTTAATAGACAACATATTCAGTGCTCACCTCAATAAAAGGAGTAGAGTTTTAGGAATTCTGCATGAGTGTCTGTCCTGATAACCTTGGCTGTGACTGCCTGTTTATAGAAGCTTCATTATCCTTGTGTTAGTTTGTTTGGGTATCAGTTGTTTTACTGACTTGTAATTTTTTCTTATTGATCCTTTCTTCCATATGAAATCTCTTTTTTAGGGTCAATAGATCTCATCAATGGGACGATCTATACCAATGCAAAATTGACACAAGGATAATAAAACCCCCCATAGATAACCATTCAAAGCCAAGTTCATCAGGTGTGACAGTCATATCAATTGTGCAGAATTCTTAAAAACTCCCTTCAGTCACTGAAGATGTTGTCTAGAAGAATGACGAAGGCTTCGAAAATAAATCAGACACCTCAGATAACAAAACCACACATAAAAAAATTCCCCTAAACTAGATATCCTCTTCATTATTTCGAAATGTTCAAGTGTCACATATTATTTTGATGCATCTATAGTGATAACCTTTCCATTAATTGTTATTTGTGAAGTAAATTGTCTACAGACAAGCACTAAACGCATTTTAGTGATATCCTGAACTTTTACCATGGTAAATTTTGATGCGTACTGAAACACATGACATCCTGAAGCTTAAAACGTTGCAAAATCTTGTGCTGCAAATTCATTACAAGTGTACATGAAACGTTTCAACATAAACAGGAAAATAAACCACATATTTCGATGTGGATATGTGTCAAAACTTTGTGTTCCAAGGGGAACAATCACTTCCAATAGTGCCATTACCAGGGATGTCATTATTGCGGGTCATCAAGTGGACGCCATAAAATCCCTTAAAGTTATCAGTAGACAAAATAGTTTGGTTCTCCTCAAGTCTGCCCATGCAGTTGTCATGAAATGTTTGACACCTGACCTGTGTGTTCAGAAAGAAACAGTTGTCAGTCTTTCTTGCTCTGATAACCTGATGTCTCTTCCTCTGTCATTTATTTGACTATTTAATCTTTGGTTTTGACCTCTTTGCCTTTCGGTGTGACGGAATTCAGCTTACCCTTTGTTCCTGTGATATGAGTTGTGTCGGCCACATTGTTATGCCACTTATTAGTTACTCATCATCTTATCAAACTCTTCTCTTTATCACGCAGCTCTTTTTTATTATATCCGAACATTTATTACATGTCTGGTTTTGTTTTAAAGTTAAAATTTTTGTTTGCAAATTATATAAGTATAATTTCTGAGCACTGATTATTAATTTTAGGGTTTACTGCTGATCGACATAATGTCACATTGGTCTGTAAACTTAACGAAAGTTTCTTAGGCTGTACGCAACTGATGACCAGCCGACGCAGTAAATTATAGCAACCCCTTACCCTGCAAACAACTTAACTTTTGCTTTATTCAAATTCAAAGAAGCGAATAAGTGTATGACGTAGACTGACAGTTGGGAAGATTACTGGCTGTTGACAGCGAAGCGTATCTACAGTATTCAATAAAGTTATAAAAAAATTTATCACTAATCTTTGCTCCTTTAAAACTGGATTATACGATGCTACAGAAATGTACTAATTCTCAGATTAAATTGATCCTTTTTGTAACTAGATGTTAGAACAGAGTAAACTTTTAAAAAATAATTCACATGAGCTCTGACTGCAGTATGATTTCATAGTTCCACAGACACTGAGCACTGAGAAAAAAATTAGACATAGGCAAGCAATTATATGTGTAGAAGTCACAGTGATGTTGAAATAATCACTACCGCCATTCTCTTCCAAAAACTTGTGCAAAATTCTTCAAGAATCATTTCTATGGGGACGTTTTCGAATAGTTTACCAAACTAAATGTTGAAATCATTAGTTTCATTATCTCTGAAATTTATACGAATATGACGTTATGCCTTGTTAAAATACCTAAGGCATACAGACTAAGGTATAAGGCTTGTCAGCCATCCACGTGGTCCGGGGTTTGATTCTGCACCGATGCACTCTTAAACCTTACTAAACCGGTGGTAAGCAGGGTAAACAGGGAAGGCTGGGCATGGAGCTAGCAACTTCATAATGTAAAAGAAGAATAAAACGACTGCTACTTAAACTTCAGGGCTTGAAGCCCTTTATTCGACTCAGAACTCAAAGGGATAAAATGGTGAGCACTTAAAATCTGCACAATAACATGCAACCATCCAACGACGAGATGACACGACTGCATACCAGACATCTAGTCAAAAATGAGGTAAAAGAAGTATCAAAAATTTACAAAAAAAAGAAAGAATTGCTTAGAATTTGAATATATACGTAGAAAGAAAAAAAGTACTTACAGATTTGATGTTGGCGTTATACCAATATTATTACTACTATTATTACGTAATCTGAATTGAGGAAGCTGTACAGATTCACAGATAGGTTTATTAATTACTAACTGTGGAATTGTAGACTCTGAATAATTGGATAAATTTACATTTAATCTTTCACGTACACCAGTAGAAAAATTGGGAATTGAAAGACACTGGCCAGGTAGTAAACTATTACTATTACTGTTATTATTATCATGAACATTATTATTATTACTGATATTTTCACTAGTAGTACAGTTTTTAGATAAAGAATATGTTGACCTGATATAAGGAAAACAATATTCATCATTCGACTGAGTACCACTTGACTGGTTTGAAAACAACCATGTATCAACTGTATTATGGTCTTCAGAGTTACGATGTTGTGGACTCGGTGAATTTACTCCAGCCGAATTCGTTGTTGTTGATGATTTCAAGGGTGGATTTTGTGCTTGAACTGTTGGTACTGTATGTCGACGATTTTGTTCAGATTTTGAAAAGCTTTCATCATTTATAGATTTTGTATCATTCTGACTTACGCTTGGTGCTTGAACAACTTGAGTGCCTAGAGATGGTACTTTGTGCTCGACCGACTTTTGTGCCAAGTCTACATTACTTGAACATCCTGAGGATTTCGACGATTTTGTAATAAAAAATTTACGTCTTGATGAAATTTTATCTGAAGACTGTAAACGTCTTGGATAGTGGGATAAGCTGTAGCCTGTTACAGGAGATGGTGATTTGCCCAATGGTCTTTCTTCATTTCTAGTTGTTATTGTCAACTGATTAGTTGTCAACTCAGAATTGGACTGGCTATTTGAATGAATGTTTAACAGACCAGATTCTTCATCGTATGATGTTAGACTACAACTACGACCTTTACTATCAAAAATAAAGGTCGGTGGTTTTAGACTTTCTACTTCATCGACTATGTTGAGTTTAGTTTCTTCACTATCCCAGTCTTTATCGTCATCGTTAGCTAGTTGTAATGTGATCGCTGGGACTGTAATCACATCACTTGAATAGAAATTCTCCTGAAAGTAAGAAAAACGACAAAAAAGAAAATACAGTTTAATCTTTAAAATATGTACCGATCTACAAAAGATGCATGATAACGCCGACGATAATAGCAATGAATGAAGTTAAAAATAAATGTTTTGATGCCGTCTAGTGCATAAATTATTCGAAAAGGTGTTAAGAACGGCAAATGTATGGAATGATTTTCAAGGGGAAAAGCCTCCTTATACACATATCTCCTCATTACTATGATCACCTAAAGTACGATTTAAACGTTTTTAGCATGGTGGTGACTCATAGTGGAGTCCAGTGGAATTCATTTGACTTTGTTTTATTAGATTTCTATTTATAATTTGGAAATTTTGATTTGTCGTATCACCAGTTCGCCCAAGTAGCTAGCCAGGATTCGGGTAGTTGAACTGAGTCGGCTCTCTCAGATGAGTCAAACCAGTAAGTACACCGCTGATGAGCTCGACTCCAAATGAGTCAAAGGACCATATCACGTTTAGGCCAATTCAATCTGACTGGCATCCACAAAAGGTTGATGTAATTTGTGCGTTGGTGGCGCAGTGGTTAGGACTCTCGCTGAACATGCACATGGTCCAGGGTTCGATCCCCTACCGACAAACACCCGATATCTATGGTCGGCCTGCAAAATTTGGGCTACCGATATCCATGCTGAAAATTCCATACTTGGACTGAAAATACGGTGTGGAATCAAGCTGTAATCAAAATAAAAAAAATAAAAAATATCAGTCAACAGCCCTCGAGTGGAACCCGAAAGGGAAGCGACGAGTTCTTCGTCCAAGGGTGACCTGGAGGAGATCATGTGAAGAAGAATTGAAAGAGTATGGGTAGACTTGGAGCCAGGTGAAAACTCTAGCAGAGAACCGAACGCAATGGAGACGCATGGCTGAAGCCCTATGTTCCTCTAGGAACTAAAGGAAATAATAATAATATAATAATAATAACAGTATATAATTCTCCACATTTATGCTTACTCTCTTGATTAGTATTCATGGGATTGAACAGCTCAAGTATTGTGATCTTAATAATTTCGGTTTATAAAGGAAACTATGGTCAAATTTCACATCAAACTGTGTAATTTTCAAATTGCGAATTTGATTGAGAACGTCATTTTTATTGATTTTCCCCTTAAATTTTCGGCCATCTGTTTCCCTTTGTTTCTGGATCAGATATATAGATACCGTTTATTCATTTTAGCTGTTAGTGACAAGCATTAAAATCTAGGACGCAGGCCTCATCCTGTTTGAGACTTTTCAGCTGGATATACCTACTTATTAGTGAGTAGTTATATCCTCCTAGGGGATAACGACTTGGCGTTTTAAGCGATTTGTACTGGGTCCGAATCTTTGTGGGAACACTATCACTCACTGGGCGGGGGCTGTTATTTCCAGCTAATGGGCGAAACTCACATCCCAGATTCTACTATCAGCCGCAACCAAACGAGTGATATGTAGATATTTCGAAAATTAGGCGGGTGTTTCTACAAGCAGTGTCTCAGTTGTCATTCTCAGGTAATGTATTCAAATTTTGGTTGTAAACAGAGAGCCTAAAAAGGTAGTTATTTTAATGCAACGAACTCAAACTGCATTTCGATATATATAAATACCAAAACGATAAGTAGAGTTGTAAGAACTTACAGCTCCTTCTTGTATATTGAATGATAAATCCTCATACAAGTAACTTTTCAACTCTGCTTTAAAGCGTGGATGTTGATTTAATATTTCACTTAGTGTAATCAAATCAATATAATGCAGGTCACAGTAGGTTAACGACTTGACATCACATCTTGAACGTATAACTGGAAATGTTGATGTTGTCGACATACTGCTAGCATTATTTAGCGTTGAATCAGAATCTATAAAGGCACCAAACCAATCATTTTTACCTTGAAAAAGAAAACGAAAAAAAGGAAAGTTAGTCATATTTTGTGAAGCATCAACTGAAAACAAAAAGAAAACTTAAATAACGTTGATAAATAAAATTTTTGGATTGAAACGATGGCGAAATGTTTCGTGTTTTGGCTTACAAGCTACATAGTTCTACACATCACTGCAATGAATGTGCAGTAATTTTTGAAAATAAAGTACGGTGATACAGCACTAATATGTTCTTCTAGATGGCAGTTTGGTTATTTAGTTGTCAATAGTGATAGTTCACGTATTAAGAAACAACATATATGACATACTCCGCCTGTAAGTTGATTTGTTTACAGAAAAAATAATGAACTGATTAGAAGTTAATTGGTGGACAGCGACTAGCAGTGGAATCCGGGAAGCGCATTTCCTCATATTTGGGACTCGTCATCTGGATGTACCTCCATTCTACAGTGAGCGATGACGTTCCTACGGAGGCTTGAACCCAGTGACCATAGTTTCATATGCCAAAGCATTATCTACTAGACCACTTGGGACGAGAGAGGCACCTCTTGTGCAATAGGTCATATTAGTTGTTTAATTCAATTTTCGATTTTCCCGCCGATTGACTGGACTGAAGTGCTTGGTCCAATCAATCGACGGAAAAATCTAAAATTGAATTTATAATGAATTTCTTTATGGGAAGACAGTACTTGTGATTAAGGGTAGAATTCTCAGCATTATGACTTAGTAAGGTATACGTTGAACATGTTACTAAGTCTGATGATGAAACTTTGACAGTGAAACACAAAGGCTCACAGAACACTCTATGAACTCTTAACTGTAACCATTAAACGTATTATTACTATTGCAAATAGTAATATAATCTTAGGCTTAGAATGGTACATAGGGCTTCGCAGTACATTTGCGTTTCATACTGTTCTCTCTAGTTCGTTTTGATCTGCCCCAAAACTGGCTGAAGACTTTCATCTCCTCTTCACACGATATCGTGTATGTCATCCTTGGATACATATCCAACTCATCGCTTTACACTTGGATTCAACTTGGAACCTATCTGACGTGAGATGTCACTCAAGTTTCCTCAGCGTATTCCCGTTCAAACTCCGCTTCCCTCAGCTTGTTTGATGCTCAAGAAAAAGATTATTTGTTGGTGGGTTGCTAGAGTTCCGTGTTGCTAATCCTTTCTGACTGGACAGCTGATTTTCAAAATGGAACGAAGGCAGTTGTTGGTAAGAGTTGACAGTAAGGTGCAGATGGTTTATGTGACATGTCAAATCTCTGAACTGTATAGAAGCACTGATGTGAAACTAGTGTGAAAGATGCTGATATTGTTCCTCATGCTGATTGCAACAGATTTCCAGACTGATTTCAGAGTAATGAATGTCTCTATTGCTTTTCCGTTCCGGTTTTGAAATCTTCATCAGTGCCACCTGTAGCTGAAACCATGGGGCCTAGATAAGTGGAAGAAGTGACTTCCCTCGAATTTTTGTCGTTGATGGGGATTGTAACTTGCTGTCATAGGTTATCTTCATCACCCCCAGTCTTCATTTTGTTCCCTTGAAGTCATGGATTTGCTGCATACTTTTTCTCCCAACGTTTTAGTTTTCGCCTGTAGATCTTCAAGTTTGTGTGAAAGTAAACAAAAATCGTCCGTGAAGTTCAGATCTTCTAGAGTCTTCTAACCAGTCCAGCATATTTCTGTCTTCTTGATCCTCACAGTTGGATGCCTCATCAAGTCCACCGTAATCAGGAGTATTATCGATGATAGTAGACAGTCTTATCTTACTGTGGCCTTCACCTTAAATGTGATACTGAGTTTTCCTGTGTGAATCACTTGACATGTGGCAATATCGTATAGCTATTGGATAAGGTTAATGAGGGTTTGGGGGACTATGTGGTGTGGTTTTCAAATTACTAAGAGGTCAAGCCTATCGAGGGCTTTCTCAAATCTGATAAGGTTGAGTTAGAGGTTTGATTGTCATTCTATGATCTGTTCGATGATGACATGTAGCATTGCAATCTAAATTGAACATGTTTTCATTTTCCTGAATCCAACTGACTGAGGTTATTTTTTTATTTTTATTTTCTATTTCGATTACAGCTTGATGCCACACCGTATTTTCAGTACAAGTATGGCATTTTCAGCATGGATATCAGTAGCCCAAATTTTGCAGGCCGACCATAGATATCGGGTGTTTGTCGGTAGGGGATCGAACCCCGGACCATGTGCATGGTCGGCGAGAGTCCTAACCACTGTGCCACCGACGCCACCGAGCCAAATAAACTACACTGATAAAGTCTGATTTTCTAATTCTTTTCGTTTTACCTTCAGTGACAAAACATCAGTTTCCACATGAACGAAGCAGAAACCTTGTACTTAACGGGAGGATGTTTTTTATTCCTTTACGTTCTCCAGTGGAACATAGGGCTTCAAGCTAGAGGCTTGAAGTTTCTGTAGCAATGGTGATTATTTTTACAGGATGGGGTTGCTAGCCTCATGTCCAACCTTCCCTCTTTACCAGTCTTATTACTGGCTTAGCGAGGTAAAGGAGTGCATCAGCCGGGGATCGAACCCCCAGACCACCTGCGTAGTCGGTGAGCACTCTACCGCTGTGCCACCGACGCTCTAGCGGGAGAATAAGATATAAAAGTGCTTCCTTGATTATTTTCAAATGCATGATGCAATTACGTTGATGTTCGCTATCAGTATTATAATTCGGTCGATATCTCAGGGAAGTGGAATTCAGGATGTGAAATTCTTCATGTCTGAGACTCGTCCACAGGTTCAACCTGAATCCCCACTTAGTGACGATGTTCCTACCGAGGCTCCAGTTGAGTAACTATCGTTTTGAACTCCAAGAAGCTATTCACGGGGCCAATTTATCACTTCCTGTGTAGTCACTCAAAGTCTCAGTGGGAACACGATCATTAACTGGAATGTATGTGTATTCAGCTGACGAGTTTCAGAGAGAAGTAAATACGTACCCTTGATTTCATCACGCGGCAACATCCACCAAATCATACCACTACGGTTCGTAATAACTCGATCCCAGTTTAGATATGATATATATACATATATATATGCATATTTATCCAGAAATAATAAATTTTTTCGTGTGTTTTGTGTTTCCAGTGACTGTAACATTTCGTTTCGTGCGTAAAATAATTTGGGAGCAGGTGATTAGAATTTTTTCTATGCTATATAAAATAAGCTTATTTCGGTAGATCTCAGTCAACCCACACATCTTAGGTGATACACTCAATAGAAAATTGATTTCTGAAACAGTTATCTTCTGGTTGAATGATTTCATTAATGCTACATGCTCTTAAATAATCTTTTTGTTAATTTACTAATAAGATCCCACTTTTTCTTTTGATTTATTCTTATGTAATTACAAATTGCTAATTCAACGTTCAATGTTATATTTGCTATAAGCTATCGTCACTTATAGACATTCAAATTTCATTTAAAATTGTTCAGTGAGACCACTATTGGGAAACATTTAAATTCCAAATGAGCAGTTATTAAATACTGAAGATGAAAGGACGGATTTCTACAGTCGATAGGAAAAGAAAAATGCTTAACAGAAGAAAATTGAATTATATACTCAGACAGGCGAAAAGAGTTGAGAATTGGCATTATGTTAAAAATACAAAAAGAACGTTTTCATCTGGACTGTCTAGATTGTTGAAGCGCAAACTTAGACAAATCCAGACTAGTTAAGTTTAGCAGCTAATGAAGTGTATTACGAATATCAGTTGTAGGAATGGATGACGTCACATATATATCTCATAAACCTGACTATGTGAAATAAAAGACAGACAGCTGAAGTCTTGTTCATTGGACTAGAGGTAAACATATGCAGTGATAATGATCGCACACGTGATCCAGATATCTGAGGAATCTCCCTATCGGTGGTTTGTTACTATGGTGGATGCATTGTTATATTGCTAATTCCTCAGTCCTCGTTAAATTCTATGAGTCCAGTGTTCAGTGTGACGTGCAAACTTAAGGAGTAACAATAACAATGCTCTTAAGGATTGATATTAACCAGACGAAGTAAATCGACAGGAGAACCTGTATCCCGGTTGCGTCTTTCTTATTACTCCTTAGCAGAGAATAATTGTATACGTTAAGAAATTGATGTTCACTCTGAAACTTGCATCTTTATCAACCATTACTGTGACCACAGAACTTATCTCTAATTTAGTGAGGTTGTGATTGCCTGCAGCAATTAAGGATCACTTCAGAGTGCGTGATGATAGTCAGTCTTCCAGCCTGGTGGCCACACCGCAGACTTAAATGATACAACTGAGTGGTCAGTTGATACAGGAAAACAACACACTCCGTAAATAACACTGATTAGTCAGTGTGTCTAATCCAGTCCTATGGGAAGAAGTCCTCCATCCGAATAAGTCACCGGTAACTTCTTTGACTACAACACCGAAGCACATAAGTTCCGTCAAGGTTGCAGATGCATTTTTCTGACGAGTATGGCTAAGCAAAAAACACTGGCCCGGGACTTCTTACTAATTTTTCACAATTATTCTGTTCGCTTTAAAGTTTGTTTAATCCAGGACAGTGGTGAAATGAATTTGAAATTTACTTCAATATACGTATCAGCAATTGGTTTTCTTCGAAATATCATCCAGTAAGCAATATAAGTTCACTATATGATATGCCTACTAAAAAAAGTAGTTTGTTGGTGGTTCAGTGGTAAAGTGCTTGTCAAACACTTATGCGGTCTAGGGTTGGACCCCTGCTGACGCGATCAATAAACCAGCCCTAGTAGATCCAAAACAACACCACTGCTACTTCGGAGCTCTAGCATTATATTCCACTCGGAACTTATAGGAATAAGAAAAGAGAAAGTGTACGATTAGGCGGCAGTTCATTGAGGGTGGACATTATTAAATAATGTTGTGATGCCTAAAGAAATTAAAATTCATTTGACTGTTTCACCTACTCTGTATTTGGCTATCTCACTATGCTTATTTTTCAGTACTCGTAATTGCATATTATTCTTTTTATTTAGACAGGTACGATAAACATTTCAGTCAGAGTGATACACTGCAACTAAAAGCACTGTCATCAGCTCTTTCTTTCCATTCACACACAAAAAATTCTAAACTTTGTTTGCGGAAATGTTTTATGATATCCTTCTTATTGTCATAATATTATTTGGCTGTACAGGAGGTTTTGTCAAGTAGAGTAATTTCAGTGATACTTTATTCCGCTATCGTTCTATCCTCTCAAATATTTTTATTTCAGTCCTTTAGTTTGTGAGAGTTCGTTTTGAATTCTGTTAGCTGTCAAATGTTTGTAGTCTATTTGAATTACTTAATGGCCATGGTAATGGTAACCTTTGCAGTATGTAATTGTGAGTTTATACTGGTTCTGAATCAAGGATTCGTGAAAGACTACCAGCATAGTTGAGAAAGCCAATAAACTATATACACTGCTTCCTGCTGATTGCCTCCAACCATTTAATACCATGAAATTAATGTGCACTCTGATGGCGAGCTACCTAGAATGGTGGCTACATCACAAAACCTGACTGATAGAATTCACTCTGCCTGCACCAAAGAAAGGACTAGACACGTCACACTAGTTACTAGTGTCCAATGAAAATATCCACTACAGTACTACAGAAGGTCAATCGTGAGCCCGAATAGCTCAGTGGTAACGTCTCTGACTGCAGCACTGGGTGACGCGGGTTTGAATCTCAGAAGGGGCATGAGTTCCTTCTAGATGATAGATACGCCTTGCTAACTGGTAAGTGCCAACTAGCACGAAACCTAGGTGGAAGGCTTCCTGCCGGTTGCCTTAAACCATCTAATACCATAAATTTCACTAGTCTAGCTTGCAGTAAACATTCAACTAAGCTAAGTTGCATCTACCATCATTAGGGATTTATTTGTCCGATACAACACTTCTCAGGGCTTGTTATTCCGCTGTCTTCCTTTTTCAGTGGGGTGTTGTGTATTTGTGTGTTATTGTGTTATTCCTTTCATACAATTTACACTAAAATGACCGGAGCACATCACTACACAATTACGCATGTTCCTAACTGTTTTAGATTCTGTGTAACCGGTAGTAAATTAGCCTATATTGTATCTCCAATAAATTTAACACCTGTCCAACTCAATTTTAACAGTGAAATAGTCACCATTTGATGTCTCTGTGTTCTCTCAGCGACATGGCTTGGTTGTAAAGCCCCCATTGCCTTTCTAGACAAATTCACTGTGAAGTGAACACTGAAAACAGACAATGAAAGCTACTCAACAGAATCATTCGGATAAAAAAACACATTAATACCAAAAAATACCCTAATGAGTTACAAATTTTCTTCATTATTTAGGTAATTCCCAAGGAAAAGGAGAGTGCATTTAAAAACAGAAAAATATTTCCTCTTACCTAAAAGTGCAACCACTTCATCTTTTTCCAACACTTCCAACGATCCATTTGAAACAAAGTACAAACGTCGAAGAATATCACCAGTATGTATTAAATATTCACCAGGTGTACAAAATGTCAATTTGAAATTAACCGCTAGACGTTTTAAACAATCACGATCGGCTTTTTCAAATACTTTTAAACCAAGTACTTCACGATTTAAATGTAAGTAAATATCACCTTGTAATTCTTCAGGATAAATTTTTAAAACCTAAAAAAGGAAAATACCGAATAAATTTGTATAATAAATAAAACTGTTTTAATATACTTTTTAAATTTGTGAATGAATTTTAATTTCTCGTAGTATCCGACTAGCTGAAACCCATATCTTATGAGCTACAGGAATATAAACCACAGGAAGTAAAAATTTGTGATTACTACCAGTAAAGATATTTTTCTCGTTCCTAGTGTCCCCAGTGGAACATAGTGCTTCAGGCTTTGAAGCTTCAGTAGCAGTAGTTTTGTTCTCTGTTAAGGTGGGTTTTCTAGCACCACGCCCAAGCTCTTCTGTTTTCCGGACTGTCTATCAGCTAGTAGAGTAGGCCATCTTTAGGAGTGTGCTGTCCAAGAATTGAATCCATACTTTGAGCATCGATGGTGAGCATTCTACTGTTAAACCACCAACACACACTTAACCCTTGCCTAGTTTACTAGCCGGTAGTCAGACTGGAAAATAGGAATGTTGGGTGTGCATATAAGCATCATTGCTAATGGAACTTCATAATCTAAAACTTTATGAGCCACTCTGTACTCAAAGGAATAAAAAACAATAAAAAGAAGAAAGTTAAACAACTACTTAAGATGAAATATATCTGGAATAGATAAGCATTTTTCATGAGAACTTTCTAAACTAATTAGTTTGCATTCTTTACTAGAGACTAAAGAAGGTTTCATCAAAGTAGATAAATAACACAGCCAATAATACATATGCTGAGTTCGTAGATGTCGAACGAAGTAATAACAGCCTTACGAATACTTCAGTGGCTTTCTAGGTAATAACATACAAATGTGGTAATTAATTCTGCTTAAACTAGTCGATGTTTCTTTCTCGTCATTCAATCTAATGTCCTGATAAAAAACTAATTTACTTTTTCCCGTTGAATCATGAATGCAAAATTATTTGAAGAAATTAAATCTTACATCTGGTACATCAATTCCACGATTGATAGCCCATGTTGTTTGAAAGAAATCTTCCATTCTATTTTTTAATGATTTTGGTATTCTATGTACTTCAATAAATTCCTTTAAATCTTGAACTTTTGACTGAAATGTTGTACGACGCGCATACATACGTTGAATGATTGCTGTCACATTACCAAATACTGCTGCATGCATAAGAGCTAAAAAATAGGAAACAGAAATACTTGGTTAAATAGTGTATGTCTGATTAAAACAATTTTGTGGATTTGTGGGCTTTTGATTGACCATAGGTCTGGTCACGAGCTGATATTGAGAGTACTGGACAAATGTTCTGTCCTATTTTGTGACTGTTCAGTAGCCCGAACTCTCTGTGGCTCTCACCAAGAGCTTTCGAGTTACAAGGCGAGCCCGTAGAGCGTCCAGTCACTGGTACTCGGTCCAACATCTGGTAATTTGCTACTTATAGTGCGACCACCGGGCAGTTTAATCAGTGAATAACTGTTCTCTTACCTGACTTGCTTAACCCAAGTGGTCACTACTATTCACTTGAACTGCAAGTAACTTCCTGAATAGAACCAGTCACCAGTGTGCATCGAGTTGCTTTCCAAGTGTTGGTTTGATTGCTCACAGGTTTACTATTTTATGTAATAATGAATTAAGTCCATATCCTCAATCGCTGTGAGAATAACCAATAATTTTGAGATTTTTGATTAAGTCACTTATTTTCATGAAAAGTAACATTTTTAAAGCATATTTTTTATTCCTTCAAGCTAGAGGCTTGAAGTTTCTGTAGCAGTGGTGGGTATATTTATAGGATGGGGTTGCTAGCCTCATTCCCAGCCTTCCCTCTTTACTAGTTCTATTACTGGCTTATAGAGGTTTGGGATTGCATCGGCAGGGCATCGAACTCTGAACCGCCTGATTGGTCGACGGGCACTCTACTACTGTGCCACCTGTCGCATATAAGTACTATGAACGTTAATTACGAATCATCTTCCAGCACGCATTCCTCTACGTGTTCAAAGGAATTGTTGCCTTCTTCTGCATATCTGACTGACATGAAATGAACAAGCGATCTAAGAGAAGCGGACATCTGAAATCCTCTTCTTTTCTAGTCTGACAGTTATCAGAAGTGATAACTCATCATGATTTAGGTCTTATCAGCACTTTCTGCAGTATAAATTGATACCTAATGCCATGAAAACCGCAGACGAACTGCACATAGTATATATTTTGTTAAAAATTTTGATAATCTCCACAATTTATATGTTTTTCATTCATTGTTACAGGCATTCTATTGGCGTCTGGATATGATTTTAGTTTAGGCTATTACTCTGGACAAAAATTAGACGATAACCAGACTAAATTGCCGTTGAAAAACGGTGTTTCCATGGAACAGTATACGGGATATCTTTTTACAGCTCTATTCGTTCTTATAAAGCACTTTGTGGATATTCTCTGTGGGTGTTCGTCTATGTTTTGGTATTGCATCATTCCCTTTCGCCTCAATACTTTTTTTCAACTGGTCAAAATGATAATTTCCTGCATAGTCCAGATAACGTTTCAGACATTTTATATATACCAACTAGAAAAAGAATATTCTTTTTTGGAGTAACCTCCATGGGTAATATGTCGGAAAAGAAAGAAATTTATTATGTTGGTATTAATTCATACTACTTCTTAATAAATGTCTGTAAATGATGATTTGGATACATATATAACAAAATAACAGTTAGGAATATAATATGTAACTTCTGTATTCAGGCAAAAGTCATCTTTTACCAACTTTATCCGGTCAGAAAGTGGCTTATAAATGACCTTGTGTAGAGTTCGGCTGAGATCAAAGTGACGTGCATAGCAGTAGCTTACTTCATACAACCAACTCCCTAAATAAGTTAGAAAAAAGTGAGAACAAACGAATTTGTGGGATATGTTCGTCTTCGCCTTGCTTAATATATATTTATTCGCATGACTCTTCACTGATCATCTATTTTATGGTTAGTAGTACTATGAAGCAAAATTTTACAAATACGGATATCAGCTCGGTCTTATCGTTCACCGGAAAACCACTTCTTTTTACAAATGAATGTAAATCATCCATAGACTATACTTGAAACAGGTAATAGCAGCTATATATCCAAGGTACGCCATTATACTCCATTCATTGTTGTTTTTCTTAACTACAGTTTTGATGCTAAGCTCCTGTTCAGTTTTATTTTTAACAAATTTATGGAAAATAGAGCTTCAAGTCTTATGGATTGAAATTTATCTGGTCATTCGGGTGTTAACCCTACGCCTAACGTTACTGATTCTTTTCTGAGCTTAGGACCGTCTAATATATTAGGACATGTCAGCAGTGAATTAATTGTGTCCTCTGAGCTAGTTGGTTTAATTGTGAAGCTTTCATCGTCTCAACCTCGCCTAGATTACTAGGTCACTAGTATTCTAGCCGGTCCCAAGCCCGGATAAAGAGGGAGGGTTGGGGCGTGGTGCTAGCAACTCCACCCCCAAAACTTAACCAAATTGCTACTAAAACTTCAACGCACAAATATATTCAAAATTCTAAAATTACAAATAGTGACCTTATTTTTCGCTGGAATCGGGGAAGTGAAATGACGCGGGCTGGTGAAAGCCTTCGGGAAGCCAGTCAGCCGATGTGCCTTCTTTCGATGAAAGCGAAAATAAGGATGGGGACGTGGAATGTTCGTACAATGTACGAAGCTGGGAAGGCTGCTCAGGTAGCCGCAGAAATGAGGAGATATAGAATAGAAGTGTTGGGAATCTGCGAGAGCAGATGGAACGGATGTGGAAGGAGCCAACTATCAACTGGAGAGACAATAATCTACTCCGGTCACCCAGAGGACAATCACGAGCACACCGAGGGAGTAGCCATCATGATGTCACCAACAGCGGCTAAAGCTCTCATGCAGTGGGAACCAATCTCCTCCAGGATAATGACAGCCAGGTTCAACTCAAAAGGAAAAAAGGTTACAATCATTCAGTGCTACGCGCCTACAAACGCCTCAGAACATGAGAAGAAGGAGGATTTCTACAGTCAACTACAAACAGTAATGGACAACGTCCCAAAGAGCGATATCAAAATCCTGATGGGCGATATGAATGCGAAACTGGGAGGAGACAATACAGGAAGAGAACTCACCATGGGTCGTGAGGCCCTCGGTGAAATGAACGAAAATGGTGAACTCTTCTCAGACGTCTGCGCCTTCAATGATTTGATGATTGGTGGCAGTGTGTTCAAACACAGGGATATACACAAGGCAACATGGATTTCACCAGATGGACACACCAAAAACCAGATAGACTTCATTTCAATCTCAAGGAAGTGGAGACGGAGCCTACTGGACACAAGATCGAGGAGAGGAGCAGATGTGGGTTCAGACCACTATCTGGTACAAGGGACTTTCAAGGTGAAGCTGAAAGCCTCGAGGATACCTGGGGATAGGCCACAATGCAAGTTCAACACTCACAAACTGAAGGACACAATCACACAGGACATTTTCACTGCAACTGTCAGAGCAAAGCAGGAAACACTACGTGGCACCACTGAGGAATCATCCGTGGAAGACCATTGGAACTCTCTGAAGGTAATTTTCAACGAAACGTGTTCAACGGTTTTAGGAAGAAAGAAGAAACAAGACAAGGAATGGCTCTCAACAGACACTTGGAAACTAATAGAGGAGAGGAGAAAAGTGAAAGAGAAAATGATTCAATGCAAAGATGGACAAGAGAAAGAGACGCTGAACTCAACTTACACAGCACTGGACAAAGAAGTGAAGAAGAGTGCCAGGAAGGACAAAAGACAATTCTACGACAACCTGGCTACTGAAGCTGAGAAGGCAGCAGGCAAAAGGGACCTGAGGACACTATATCAGATAACCAAGTCTCTATCCGGGAAGAGATCAACACAAGTGAAACCTATAAAAGACGGCCAAGGGAACCCAATTACCAAAGAAGAAAGACAGATTAAACAATGGGCGGACCACTTCAAAGGACTCTTGAACCGACCACCACCTACAACCCGTCCAGTAATACCAACAACAGCACGTACACAACTGCAAGTTGACACCAATCCTCCAACGAAAACTGAAGTCATGAATGCAATCAAGCTTCTGAAAGCTGGAAAAGCAGCTGGACCAGATGGAATACCCCCGGAAGCACTGAAAGCGGACCCAGAGACGACGGCAGATATGCTGACTCCATTATTGCAAAAGATCTGGAAAGGGGGAAAGGTGCCTACTGACTGGAGGAAAGGTTACCTGGTGAAACTACCAAAGAAGGGCGACCTGAGACTCTGCAAGAACTGGCGAGGAATCATGCTCCTGTCGACGCCAAGTAAAATCCTGAGTCGCATCATCCTGGAGAGAATCAAGGACGCGCTGGATACAGAACTCCGACCAGAACAAGCTGGATTCAGGAAAGGCAAATCATGTTCTGACCAAATTGCAACTCTACGCATTATCATCGAACAAAGCATGGAATGGCAATCAAATCTCTACCTCAACTTCATAGACTTTGAGAAGGCCTTCGACAGCGTTGACCGCGAAGTAATTTGGAAACTACTCGAGTACTACGGCGTACCGCAAATATTCATCAACCTTATTCAACAACTGTACGACAACGGCACATGTCAAGTGATCCACAACGGAAAACTCAGACTCAGCGAGGCGTTTGGAGTAAACACAGGAGTCAGACAAGGGTGCTTATTATCACCAATGATATTCCTGATTGTGGTGGACTGGATTATGCGTCAGACAGTGGGAAACGAGAAGACAGGGATATCCTGGACCGACGTGAAGAACCTAGAAGACCTGGATTTTGCGGATGATTTATGTTTGATGTCACACAAAATCGAAGACTTACAAGCAAAAACCGACAAACTGGTCGAAGAAGCAGCAAAGACAGGACTCCAGGTAAACATAGACAAGACGGAGGTTATGAAAATAACCAACCAACAACAACAACAGCAACATCCAGCGCCAATCACTATCAACGGGAGGGATTTGAAAGAGGTTACTTCATTCACTTATCTGGGGAGCATTGTCTCAACCACAGGAGGAACGGACGAGGATGTCAAATCGAGAATCGGGAAGGCGAGAAACACATTCATCAACCTGAAACCAATCTGGAAATATTCGTCACTCAGCCTGCATCAACAACAAAATTCGGATTTTCAATACAA